CCGTTGAATCAGGATGGGGATCTGCTGTTATCCTGAACATCGCTGACTGGTGTTCAAATCTTTGTTCCATCCTGTCAGAGATCGTCTGACTGTAAACTGCATCCAGTCAGACCAGAGAGCCTCTGATTTATGGGGATTTCTCTTCTGCTGGCTGCAGGTTTGCTGCAGCATAAAAGTTCAGATTCTAAAGGAAACCAGAGAAAAAAATTTAAATAGTTTATGTCGGGCTGAAAGTAGACTTCCTTATCATCAGAGCAAAGGAACTTCCTTCTGCCTTAGAGTAGGGCTGGGCGATATGCAGAAAATCTAATATTACGATATATTTGGGCTACATCGCGATACACAATATATATATATCACGCAGGCTCGGACTAGGGACTATTTTCGGCCCTGGCATTTTTCCATCTACACTGGCCCACTTATGGACGTAATGACCTCTGGCGATGACATCACACAGAAGAATTCTTCATAAAGTGAAGAAAATCATGGACAACAGTGAGCATCTCCCTCAGTCAGATCCGGTGAACGTACGATGGGAAACGTTAGCCTTTAGATGCAAAACCCCATCTTGCACTGCAACACATTTTTGCAAAATATTCCAACATAACAAATATAAGAGAAACATCATAGTTTGGTTTAAAGAAAGCATTTTAGTTTCATTATAATTTAGTTTGTTGCAAGGATTTTAAAGTTTAAAGTTAAGAAATAGAAAATGAAACCATCTGCCAACCGTCACAAGGAAGGGTTATATATACTGCATGCATCATTTAGGGAGTTAACATTGGATTACTGCTTCAGCTCCTTCAGTTATTTACTGTCACAGGTAGGAGCTTCGGCTGGAGAGGAAATGTTGGAGCCACTATGATTAAAGGAGGGCAAACCACAGATTACTAGCCTGACGTAGTCCTACTCAATTCTAGTCAGAATGAGTCTGATGCTGCTCCATAGAGCTGTGATTATGGGGCGTGTTTCGAACGAACCAGGAAAAAAAATGCCTCTGCACTCAATTGGATAGACCTACAACCAATAAGAGCAACGGAGTGCGTGACGTATGTTAAGCCACGCATAGTTGTTGTCAACAAAAATCAAAGCGTGCAGTTGCACGCCTAGAATCAGAAGATGAGCCTTGATCGCGTTTCTCTGTTCCTCTTTTAAAATTAATTTGCTGTCGATATCTTCTAGAACAGACCTAATAGCAGAATCTACTCACCTCAACTCTCCAGCGGCAGCCATTGTTGTTGTCACCCAAGCGCGCTTTGGTGACGTGGTTGATTACGTTACTGTTGATCATCTGTCCATCATCGTATAAAGCCCGCCCTGACAATTTGATTGGCCCGCCAGATATTGTGCTAGCATACTCGCGCTACTGTTGAGCAATGCCAGACCGAACTTCCCGACCTCAAACGTTGTGGGCGGGACTAAGTTCGGAATGGCACCCAGGCTAACAGATTACCAGTCTAATCCTGATATCATCATATGTTTAAATAAACTTCAAAAACAATAAAGTACATAATATTGCAATGATATACTCATTCAAAATGTTGGTTTAAAATTTTATTTACTTTTATTTTAAGCAGTTCAAAGCTTTTCACTAATAATTCTACCACATGATGTCGTTGGGTGTCAGTATTAGACCTTCAACTCATTGACTCTTCAGCAATCCCTCACGCTAAGCATGCTTTTAGCTCTATACCTTCAACAAATCAAGGTATAGATCAGAGCAGAAATAGGCGCGGTTATCTAGAACTCCCCCATTAATCCGTTGGTTCGGTATCGTTGGAAATTCCCCCATAAGAAACATCTCTGCTGTTTGTTTGGTGCTGCTGTCATCAAGGAACTACGGTGGCCGACAGGTGCAAATGCGCAGCAAAAGAGAAAACATGCAAACAAAAAAAAAGACACGCTCACAAATTAAATGCGGCAAACAAAAAGCAAATAAAATGCAGCAAACAAAAAAGAAGACACCCCCGAATGAAATGCAGCAAATAAAAAGAGAGACGCAAACAAAAAAGAAGACACCCCCGAATGAAATGCAGCAAACAAAAAAGAAAACACCCCCGAATGAAATGCCGCAAACAAAAAGTGTTGAAAACGGAAGTGCTCCAGACCACTAGGGGGAGTCAAAGAAAATAGTATTCATTTCTATGGGACCAGATGCAAGATTCAGAGAAAGATATTTGAAAGAAAGTAAAGGTACGTATTACTATATTTCTTTTTAGATACGCCGTCTTTTATAATATTACAGAATAACAGAATAATTTATGGGTAGCGTGATAGACTTTGTGTCAGTCATACCGTTGATAGATAGATAGATAGATAGATAGATAGATAGATAGATAGATAGATAGATAGATAGATAGATAGATAGATAGATAGATAGATAGATAGATAGATAGATAGATAGATAGATAGATAGATAGATAGATAGATAGATAGATAGATAGATAGATAGTGAATTCGATTTACGCTTTTAACTTTCGTATTTTTATCTTTTTTTGATTGCTCTTATTTTTTCACAGTGACTCTGTGAAGTATTATCCTCTATAATGAGGTATTTTTCGGGGAGGTTCTGTGCTTTTTTGTGCTGTTTTTATCATGCTGCTCCCACCGGGACACGCTGCCTTTGTTTACTCCAGAGAACAGCTGATCGCTCTAATGCCGGCCAGCGTTTTAGCCAGACAGCTGAAATACCACCCGAACTCTGGAGGAAAACACGCCGTGGTTGCAGAGGAGGAAAACAACATTATCACTTTACTGGGATTTATCACTTTAATTGGACTTTTCACTTTATTTGGATTTAGTTTTTACATATGCATAGATATACGTACAGATATATATGCAGAAGAGCTATATGTGTATATATATTTTATCTCTTTTTATTCTTATTTTTTTAAATCTTTATTATATTGTATAGTTGGATGTGTGTATATATCATGTAAAACTGTAACTGGAGCGTGTAACAAAAGTAATTTCCCTCTGGGATTATTAAAGTATTTCTGATTCTGATTTACCTTTTTTAGGTGGCCATGTTTTGCTGTTTCTGTGGACAAAATCTAGGAACAATTCAAGTTTTCTGTTTTTCATGTGGGAAGAATGTGCAGATCTTGGCACAAGCTCAAGACACTGGTAAGCAGTGATGGCATAGTTACTTGTAAAAATTAACTATAATCGATTACTTATTACTACTTGAAAAAGTAGATTAGTGATTACTTTTTTTGGAAATTCACTAAGTTACATTATTTATTTTTCTCCACCACTTGTGAAAAGCTTGAGCGTTGCCAGCCATATGTATGGCTCCTCAACAGCCAACCAACGCATCGAAAGCTGGGGGTCATATTTCAGAAAACAAAGGTGAGTTTGTCAACAGTTTATTGTAATTTTTGTATAAATACCAAGTAGTAGACCTTGAAAAGGTGAATAAATTTAGTAGTCTTCTTGGATAAGCAAACATTTCAAATTTTTAATGCAACATTTTACTCGATTACCTCTACTTTGTCAGAAGAAATGAAGTACTTGCATATCTCTTAATGACCATTATGTTTTTGTGCTATATACAACTTAATTTTATAGTTTAACATTTGATATGGATGAATCAGAAGCTCAACATTTAAAGTATAACAGTTGATGTCTGCTTACTTTATATTTAACTTTGTAGGTCAACATATATTTAACTATTTTCATGACATAGAAACTAGTCCTATTACTTTCTGCTGATATAATTATCTTATAATTTTGGTTTATTGTTGATCTCAGTTCTGGATGGATCTCATGAACGATTTGAAGGAAAGACATCTCTTCAATGGAAGTCATGAGCACACATGCCTTGTGCGGTTTGTCTTCATGGATATGCTACAGAGAGATCTTGATGAATGCAAGAACAGGTGGCATAAACATACCATAAGACCTGTTAAACAATCTTGCTGTCCATCTGGTAAACCAGATGTGATGTATCATCTACCTCACAGGTAATTTTTGTTGTTTTTGTCTTCAACATCTGGTTAATTTAAAACCTCTTTGGGAACTCTAAAAAATAATTTGCCAAAACAAAAATAATGAACAATGTGTTAACAGTATGTCACTTTTTATTCTAACAATTTCAGATGACAATTTCTAAAATGTAAATTTAAATACAATTAATCATTTAGACAGGTTATAACAATAGTCAGAGCAGTAACAGTTTAGTGAAGAAATGTAAATATAACTAAATGTTTCCTGTATTTCTTCTATTCCTAGGTTTGGTGGAACAGACTGTGGTTTCCTAGTTTCCCAGGAGCCATTCGGACAGTTTGTGACAGAGACTAACAACATTCAATGTGGAGATGAACACCTTCAGGCACATTTTGAGAACCTCCAGAGACAGTGTGGCCTAGCACATCCACAGAGTTGGGAATCATGTGTCGAAAACTATATTAAACTGAAAAACATGGTGGACTTATAAACAAACAAGAATCCAAATTTGAAGGTCGCACACAAACAGTAAACAGTGTCATAACTGAACAGGTTTGACAAGTTAAATAGATAGCATTTTGTTTTGTTTTGCATTTGACCTTAATAAAGCCCAAACCCAGGGGAGTTTTGAATCCCAAAGTCCATGTCTTCTTTAAACTGATGATACGTCTTGGACATTGGTATTTTGATAGTGTTGGAGCAGGTGCTACTGACAGGAAAACGAGAAGTGGCCTGAAAGATCAGTTTTGGTGGTGGCAGAATTGAAGATGGAGGTAGTGTGTTCAAGCCGGTGGCAAACATCAGGACGTCCTGGAGAAAGAAACCCATTTTTTGTTCTAGAAAAGAAGCAATGAGTTTATGTATCAGATATTACAATAACACCAGAATATAGCAATAAATCTTAAAGTCCTCCTTCTGCGTCAAGGAGAAGGTCTCTCCAGAATCCTAGCACTCTTGTTTCCTCATGTCGTCTGCTGCTACCCTTTTCACTGAGCTGAACCTCAAATATTTCCTCCAATATTTTGGATGTCAGCTGTTCCACTCTTGCACGCATAAATGGCCTGAAGATGGAAGCATGCTGCTCCAAAGCATTCTGGAAGTTCAGTGTTGAAAGGCCATCCTTGAATCTATAAAAAGTTTGAAACAGAAATCACCTTAATTATTATCAAAAGAGCTGATATTTTTCAGTAACACAAAGAACATTAATATGTCTAATCTATTTTTATTATTTTTATTTAGCATAGGTAATATTGCTGATGCACTGTGTGTGTGTGTGTGGGTGCTGTTGTAACCATTAATCTCCCGTTCAGTTCAACCTTATAAGCGGAGATACATACTTGATATTACTATAATTAAATAACTTGTAATTAATTATTTGCAACGTTCAAGCTTTTCACAAGTGGTGGAGAAAAAAAATAAATAATGTAACTTAGTGAATTTCCAAAAAAAGTAATCACTAATCTACTTTTTCAAGTAGTAATAAGTAATCGATTAAAGTTAATTTTTACAAGTAACTATGCCATCACTGCTTACCAGTGTCTTGAGCTTGTGCCAAGATCTGCACATTCTTCCCACATGAAAAACAGAAAACTTGAATTGTTCCTAGATTTTGTCCACAGAAACAGCAAAACATGGCCACCTAAAAAAGGTAAATCAGAATCAGAAATACTTTAATAATCCCAGAGGGAAATTACTTTTGTTACACGCTCCAGTTACAGTTTTACATGATATATACACACATCCAACTATACAATATAATAAAGATAAAAAATAAGAATAAAAAGAGATAAAATATATATACACATATAGCTCTTCTGTATATATATCTGTACGTATATCTATGCATATGTAAAAACTAAATCCAAATAAAGTGAAAAGTCCAATTAAAGTGATAAATCCAAGTAAAGTGATAATGTTGTTTTCCTCCTCTGCAACCACGGCGTGTTTTCCTCCAGAGTTCGGGTGGTATTTCAGCTGTCTGGCTAAAACGCTGGCCGGCATTAGAGCGATCAGCTGTTCTCTGGAGTAAACAAAGGCAGCGTGTCCCGGTGGGAGCAGCATGATAAAAACAGCACAAAAAAGCACAGAACCTCCCCGAAAAATACCTCATTATAGAGGATAATACTTCACAGAGTCACTGTGAAAAAATAAGAGCAATCAAAAAAAGATAAAAATACGAAAGTTAAAAGCGTAAATCGAATTCACTATCTATCTATCTATCTATCTATCTATCTATCTATCTATCTATCTATCTATCTATCTATCAACGGTATGACTGACACAAAGTCTATCCCGCTACGCATAAATTATTCTGTTATTCTGTAATATTATAAAAGACGGCGTATCTAAAAAGAAATATAGTAATACGTACCTTTACTTTCTTTCAAATATCTTCATCTGAATCTTGCATCTGGTCCCATAGAAATGAATACTATTTTCTTTGACTCCCCCTAGTGGTCTGGAGCACTTCCGTTTTCAACACTTTTTGTTTGCTGCATTTCATTCGGGGGTGTTTTCTTTTTTGTTTGCTGCATTTCATTCGGGGGTGTCTTCTTTTTTGTTTGCGTCTCTCTTTTTGTTTGCTGCATTTCATTCGGGGGTGTCTTCTTTTTTGTTTGCTGCATTTTATTTGCTTTTTGTTTGCCGCATTTAATTTGTGAGCGTGTCTTTTTTTTGTTTGCATGTTTTCTCTTTTGCTTCGCATTTGCACCTGTCGGCCACCGTAAGGAACAGTTTAAAACATCTAACGGCATCTTCTAAACCCTTGGAGGCAGCCATAGTGGTCAAAGGAAAACCACAATAACATAATGTAATGAAGCTGAGTCTAATTAGCAGAAAGCTGTAGATTTAACCCTATAATGCCAAATGTATCATATTTGATACATACGGTTTCTGAAATGTTTTGCTTCTGACACCTTTTGCATAATTTAATGGTAAAAACTTTGCTCAAAATCCTATTGTACATAATCAGATACACCTGATAACAGAGGGCAGAAGACTACACATAGTAATAAATTATTAATATCAAAAATGTATTTCTTTTTTTTTCTTTTTACATATTTTGTTAAAAGACCAAATAAGGACTTCAAACCAAAAAAAAAAAAGTTATTTTCTGTTTAGTTTTATTCTTGGATCGGGCTTTAAAGGGTTAAAGATAAGCTGCTAAAATCAACAAAGCGTCCTCCAATCATGAGACTCTTCACATCAGTCTCAGTTTAGAGTAAAGCGTTTGAGCCGAGAGGTTTAAAGTGCTTTTGCCTCCTAATAAAAAACCCACTAAGACTCACATCCTGAATCCCACCTGAAGATTTCCACACTGACACACGCCGCCTCTGCGTGGCGGCTGACCCCACTGACCGCCCACGCTCCCTCACAAAACGCACATGCATCAGGAGAAAATAACACCTCACAGCCTCCATGGGCTCGTCACCATGGTTACGTTTCTCACAGCTTTAAAGACCACTGTGAGCAATCAAGGTCTGAGCGAGAGGATGACAGATTTCTCTTAATGTGTTCTGTTGTGATTCCCACGTGAGGAGCAGATGCTGCACCTGCAGCACAGCCAGAGAAAGCCTCATTTTTCCCCGCAGTCTCTGCACATCCTATAATCGTTGCTCCTGTGCTGTCACTACACTCACAATTGGCGCCCCAGGCAGCTGCCTAGGGTCCCAAGTTCCTGGGGGCCCCATTAAACTCTGTTTACATGTATGGTTAATAAAACTATTCCTTATTTGTGCAAAGTAATTATGTTTTTGGTAAAAATCCTTTTGCTAAAATGCCATCAGAAAGCTTATAAGCATTAGTTGTCATATGTTATATATTAGGTGTGTCTCCAATACGCTGGATACTTCAAAACCAAACTAAAAATCCACCATCTCTCCATCAGAAGCAATATGTGCTCAAAAAAGAAACTCAGTGAGGAATCCTCAACATTCTCCATATGAGGAGCATGCAAAGACCATCCGTGCCGTTTGATTAAGAATAGAGGAGATTCTCGTTAAAGTGGAAAAGAAAGAAAGAAAGAAAGAAAGAAAGAAAGAAAGAAAGAAAGAAAGAAAGAAAGAAAGAAAGAAAGAAAGAAAGAAAGAAAGAAAGAAAGAAAGAAAGAAAGAAAGAAAGAAAGAAAGAAAGAAAGCATGATTTAAACTGATGGAGTAATTAAAATACCAAAGAATGGATGAAAAAGTGGAGCAATTTAAACTAAAGAGAGAAAAGACAGAAAAGAAAGTATCACAGAGGATTGAATGGCAGAAAGTTACAGAGTAAAAGAAAACAAGATCGCAGAAAGACTTTCTGATCATTACAAACAGAAAGAAATGGCAAAAAAAAAAAATACCCAAGAGACGAACAGCAGAGATTTACTGAGACACAAAAAATTAGGAGATGTGAAAATATTACCAAGAGAAAGAACAGAAATATGAGACACAAAAACCAGAAAGATGCAAGGAGAAAGAAAAACACAATAACTGTAATAAGAAAAGGACACTAAGTAAAGGCTACATGATTGGCTGAACGTTGCCACATGATGCAACATTGTGGTTGCCCAGACAACGATAATAACATCCCCCAGCGTCCGTTAGCGTGTCTAATGACCCATGAAGTTTTACCTGATCGATAACAAAACTGAAAACAATTAGTTTCTGGTGAACAAAGTAGCTGTTAGACCCTGATATAAAGAGCTGGGTAGCGCTGTGGCTAGCTGTAGCTAACAGGTTAGCATCTTTTAGCTCGATCAGTTAGCCACGTTAAGCTACACTACTTTTAACTTTCTATCAACAACAACCGTTAGTTTTCTACAAGTAGATTAACGGTTTTATTCATCTAAAATCTCTACAAATGTCATTTATTATGATGTTCCATCTTTCCTGCCCTCAGATCTTAATGAAAAGATTAAAAATAAACTGAGACTTTATTTGTCTCCTTATTAAAAAGCAGAGCTTAGTCTGTCTTAGAAGGCAGGACTCTCCTTCCAGACTTTAATGATTGTTTTCTACTTTCTGCTACTTTAGTTTGGCGATAAAATGTAAAATAATAGCAAATATATGGAATAATATGTTGAGACTCTAAAAGAGATTTGATCCTTATGAAATGGGTGCAGTACAGTTTGTCCGAGTGGAGTTACCATATGATGACGTCATAAAAAAAAAACCCTTTATTAAACCAGGAAAAAAAATCCCATTGAGATTAAAAGCATATTTTTCAAGGGAGTCATAAGAAGGGACGGGGCCCCGAGCAGATCTGGTACCTGCAGCGGACTTTTCCTTTAAACAGGAAACCCTGAGATCCAGCAGTCAAGAGTCAAACACAAGGACTCAAAGGCTAAAATGAATATAAAGTCAAACAGATGCAAAAAAAATTAAATAAAGCGAACTTTAAAACTCGGTTGAAAGAAATCGGTTGAATTGTGGAGTTTTAACATTTGCTAATCATTCGCTCCTTCTGCAGGAATCTGGTCCAGCAGAGAACGTCGTCCCAGTTCAGCCGCTCGTTATGTAAGCCAACACTGAAAGCTTCATGTGAACATAAAAGGAAGCTATTAATGGAAACTGTTGTTCCCCGCATGGAGAACAGGTTTAACTCCACAACATCTGCACATTTTTCTGTTCTTCATGAACATGAAGCTGACCAGAGAGCCGGAGCTCCGTCCTGTTCTCATTCCTGCTAAACTCTGCAGCTTTTTTTCTGTTAAAAGCTCTTCAGACACACAATGTCCTCAATCAAATATCCATCTCACACCCAGCCACAAAATAAAACCAGGCAGCCTCTTATACTAAAAGAGTTTCCATGGCAACCGTGTTCTGAAACGGGCGCAGCGCAGGAGGGGGTGCCACTTTAGACGCGTCCGCACCCTGTGATCGTGCATAATCAAGGTGGAAGCGTATCAGAAAGTTGGCCTGCGTCTCTCATTAATGGTTAAAAGGCCCAGGCTGGCTGCGAGGAGAAGCTTCACTCTGTTCTCTGCTTGGGAGAAAAACAAAGACATACTTGATCAGATAAAAGCTGCTTTTATGCAGATGTTCAGGAGTAACGACGTCACACAGGAACGTGTTTGCTGGCTCAGGATGTGCATCAGTCTTTTAATGTCTCTGATAATGATTGGAACGACCGACAGGCAGAGAGAAGCTAATTGGTTTTTCCTTTTCATTAAGTGTCGTTTGCAGACAGGGTCAGAATGCTGCTGATTGTCGTCTGGTTCTTCAATCGTCTTCATTTTGTTGCAGGTTAAAGCTAATATGTAGCCTAATTAGAATAACGTTCTATAAAGCTGATCAGAGGTGTCAAGTTACGAAATACAAATACTTTGTTACTGTACTTAAGTACGCTTTTTAGGTATCTATACTTTACTCTATTACTTATTTTTCTTCCTACTTCTGACTTCTACTCATTACATTTTCACACAAGTATCTGTACTTTCTATTCCTTACATTTTTAAATCAAACGTTAGTCGTTACTCTTGGCTTCGGTTTAATGTTTCTAAATCTTTATTTGATGCTTCAACTTTTACCAGAGTGTTTTTAAACTACAGGATCTATACTTCTACTGAAGTAACAAATGTTTGAACTTTTAACACCACTGAAGCTGATTCATATTAATTTTATTTAAGATAAGAGTTAAAGTCATATAGTGAAGTCGTATTTAAGTGTCAAATCATTCTGGCTTAAACATGTATATAAATATACTCTTTATCAGACAATATTGTCCCAAAATGTAAAAAATTTCTATTTAAAAAAAAAATCCGGTGTTAAATTCAGCCAATCATATATCAACGGTCATCTGTCAATCAAATGTTTTCGGTCATAGCATCTTGATTCATATGTCGCAGCTAATATACGCAACGGTTGAAACCAGAATCCTTTCCTTTCCCATTGAGTTGCGTCCCAGTGTTCACGGGGATGGACGTCTGTGTCTTCGGCAGGCGTAGATGTGATGCTTTAGACTTTGATAGAAAATGGACTTAAAGAAA